CGATAATAATTCATTTGGACCGGTGCGACGGAGAAGGCGAGGGGAGAACGTTGTTACGACCGAAACCGAAAGGGCTTTATACGTTTCCGCCATTAATTAGAGACAATATTATTAACTGTGTATTTCTTATTAATGCCCCGCCGATGAGGAGGGGAGGACGGCGAGATGACTGTAACGTCGTTACGACCAGCCGCTTTTGCAGTGTGGCGTTGCAATTTTATCGGCGTTATTGTTTTTTATTCGTTTTGCGGGCGCAAAAAAAGTAATGTGTGTCGAACTTTTTCCAGTTAATACCGCCGTTAATTTATGCCATTGAAATACACGTGTCGTGCGTGCAAAGAGGACAATAATGCAATGCGCATTGTGATGGGGCGGTCTTGCTGCATCCTTTGACGCGATAGAAGAGGCCCACTCGACGCCGTGCGGTTTCATATCTGCCGTATCAGCAGCTTATTGGGCTGGTAATGAAGTGGCTGCGGAAATCGTATGAAGTGCGCGTAAAATGATTTTCATGAAAAAGGACACGGCGAAATACTACGTCTCTTTGTACCGTCGACATGTCTATTGTTTTAAAAAATATTAAAATCGCGGGGTACCATCATGGGGCAGCACGTTTCTCGGGCGAAAACCGGCGGGGGCTATTGTTTCAGACATATTATTACATGCGCTCACAATGGAGAGTGGTACTCTGCAGTGAGAGTATGTGTGTTTATTAAACTACTTTTGTTTAATAACGCGCACGGTATTAAATTTGTTTTTTATGCACCACCATAGTCCGCAAGAGAGTACTAGTCTAATAATATATCGCTACCGTTGGCCGCATGTCATCCGATATGTGGTCGACGGTGTACGCTTTCCTGAAGAATAAACACATTGTACTCGGGTGCCACATAACCGAGTGTCTCTATCGAATTATTATTTTCTTTGTTTTGTCATGTTAAAAAAATGTTGTTGTGTACGCGCGCGAACGAGTTGTAATAATATTTGATTTGTTCAAAGTTTATGCTGCTCAGATAAAATGTATTTTTCTAAATAAATGTTATAACAAACAGTACAATCACGTTGATTAACGACTCGTAATATAAACATCAGCATTGAAACGCGTGTCTTGTGATGTTTTTATGATCACAATAAACTAAATGTATAATTAACTAGTATAATAATAAAAAAATCGTATTATGACCCAATGAGTAGATAAAAATTATAAGCGTTTGACTTTTACCAAGATAATGATTTTTTATTACACGGCATATGCTCGTACAATTGTACAGAAAAATGGCAAGACTGAACGACCTCTACACGCTGTAAAGTGAATAAACCAGAATTAGTCAGACGCGCTGTTAAATTTTCATAAACAATATTGTTTCGAGTAATACTTTTTTTTTCATAAGTCTTAAAGCTATAAAACGCGTGTCCGTGTCTTGTATTGTGCTAGAAAACCGTACTGCTATACACTGTTGTTATCTCGTGTTTACTACATCATCCCTGACAATAACGTTCAAGCACAATAGCGATGTTGGTTACCAGTCATGGTGTTTATATGTAAAATAATACTATCCTGGAGATTAATCACCACCGTGTGTGATATCCCTTGTCTAAGTGTCTGTGCGTCGAACACGTAAACGAACCGATATAAAATTTAAATGCTTTTTCATTTTCTCACCACACTTGTGCGCGTATTAATTATTTACCGTCTTTGTTTATAAAACCGACGCACTCGAAAACGAGCCCCAAAAAGAGGGTCTCCAAGTCGTATGATCCAAACACCACCGGGCCAGTTTAAAATAACAACACACGCGGTAATCGTCATCCTATCATCGGATATGTACCTACTCGTTGGCTCTCTCTCTTTTCGTGAGTAGGACGTGCGTTTTTTAAATAAACAATTTCAATAGCTTTCAAACGATAGCAATATTATATTTCGACCCTTGTACTTTATACGAGCCCCATGCGGGACATGTGTGCCGGGCCACATGGGGTAAATATCACATATACCAACAGACATTAGGATAGCCGGCGCCTCGTTGATGAACTGATTTCTGTCGCCCAGGCGTCTGTTACATATCATAAGAGACTTCACGAATGCGCCACAGGAAATGCGACCAGAATCGTTTCGGTGATATGTTTTTTATGTAAAAATATCTGTATCATAAAAAAAAGTCCCTTTGATCAACGCGTGTCCACATTTTAATGCCGTTCTTATTTTGGTGTTGGGTGGGTTCGCTGCTCTTTTATATCGAGGCAATTAAATCGCAACGGTTATAATTTATTATCGTAATAAGTCGTGCGCATTTAAATATGATTGTTTAAAAAAAAAAAATATGGCTTGCTAGAGTCGAGTCTGTGTGCATTTATACACTGCGATGACGTTTAAAAATAAGAACTAGATTATTTTTATCGGACGTGGCGTTTCGTGTATTATTGGCGACTACATGACGGTGCGGTTTTCAATATTCCGGAGATGGTACGATCAATCAAAACGGGTTGTATCCCTTTTGCACACCGTCGTCTCGTAGTCTTATCTAGTAGTTTCCCCGCGACTAAAAACTATTCGGCCGACAAAGCAAAAATAACAGTCACAGTGTATTGGATTATGTCAGCCACCCCTGCAGCAAAAGGCCGAGCAGCTCGGTGCGAAATAATAACACACGTACTACTGTCGTCCCACCCTTTATGTGCGAGTCAGGCGATCTGCTGATAACAACTGCATGTGATATTTTTTTGCTAGTTTTTTAATGTTTTTTCGGTACGCTACCCTCGAACAGAAACGACAATAATAACAATAATAGTTACAGAAATACATTATTATTTACTTCTGCTACAGTCGGCCGGCCGTCTCGTGTTACCACTACTGTAGTCGGTCATCCGTAACCCTATCTATTTTGTACACTATACCGAGTCATTGTCGGTTAGGTGTAATAATATGTGTGCGGCTTGTCTGCATTTAGTTTTTACTCAAAAAAACACAGAAAAAGGGTGAACGCCGTCAAAATCATCGAACAATGCGCCCTCCCATTGTGTTATCATCGACGGCACGTGGTGATAGAGCAAGAATAACAAACGACATTTACGTTTCATATATTTTACATGTGTGTATTATATTTCTATTATGTTTCCGAAGTAGTAAATTTCGTGAAAAAATCGAAACCAGCCATCGGACCAGATAGTCCGCGTTAAAACTCCCGAGGGTGCGTTTTTTTTTTTTGGGGAGGTTGAAAAAGTTTAACGAACTTCAGAAAACGGACGTGTTTATCTTAATAGCCGCCGCAGTGTGTTTGTTCCGCAACGAGCAACATCCTATTCCTATTATCAATGTACAAACTTTAAATGTATCGGTGCACTTAATAATATACTTCATGATAAAATACTTGTGTTGTGGTTTTTTTGTAAACGCAACACTAGTGTTTGAGTTCTTTGAACAGCTGTAGTTTTTAAGTCAAATTTAGTTGTCAGGATTTTAACGTTTTCGTACAAAACAGCTGCATTATATGGTCCGACGACAATAAAAAGAAATGCGCGATTTACATATTATACAGTTCTGTCGCAGTAATGGAAAAGTCAACAAAGGTATTGCGAATATTATTATAAGAAATAAAAGGTATGCCCAGAGCGTTAGATGGTGTTATTATGTGGGCAAATAAAAAAAAAAAAAAATTGTGACCCCCGGCAATGTATCAATATTTTTGGTAAATGGGGAAACGGCCCTCATTGTTGGACGGGCAATTTGAATTATTTACTTCCTTCATTGAACTAACAAATGAATGTGGAATATGCATGCGACCGTCCTGGTCTTCACCCCAACGGAGTCATAAATCTGATTTTTTTCCTTATACCAGTATTTATGTTTATATTCTTTACGAATTATTCTTGTTCCGTTTTTTGTATCTGTGCGCAGTAATATGTATATAGGTGTATTATTTTCGCATTGATATGCGAAAACCGCAGTTTTCCTCCCTTGTGCCGCCGCGCACACCGTTTAGTTGTATGGAAAAAAAGCAAACAACCGACGTGGGCCAAAAATGAAAAATAAAAGAAGAAAATATAATAGCTGTGTTGGGGTAGTTATAAAAAATGTACGTGCACACAAAACAAGGGGCTTGCATAATAATATCGAGCACTTTGATATCGTTTTGTCCGTCTGGCATTTATTTTAATAACATTTTCAAGAATAGAGATAAAAGTCGATGGAATAATATTTCATTTGCCGCGGTTGTCTTCCGTAGTAACGCGTACTATTCGTAGTTTAATTGAAATTGCGTGATATATATCAGTTCAACCAGTGTGGTCATGGCGACTCGCATTGTATCTGTTGTGTAACATTCACAGGATTTACCGGAGACTGCGAGAGGGATGGCGAGTCAATTAAAAGTAAGACGGACTTAACGGACCGTTGTTGGTGAAAACCAATAAAAACCGGGTCGTAAATAAAACGACAACTTCCCCGAAGAAAACGCTTCTTATCAAATTCAACACCGGCAGCCGCATTATCAGCCAGTATACACCAGTCGTAAAATAGACACACACAAACAATATAAAACACGGGAAATAAATATCGCCGCTGACAGTTATAACGGAAACGGCGGGCGTTTTAAAAATTATGAGTTTGCCGTCTGTTTTGTTGTCGGTCGGCGTAAACCAACACAATTCATAGCGGCGGAGAAAAAATCGTGTCTTCTCGTGATTTTTATTTGCACGCGGAAAAAGCGCAACGCGTTTTCTGCTCGCCGAAAAATCCTTATGAGTTTACATCTTAAAAGTCCTTTTTCTTTATCCGCGGAAACAGTTTTTTGGAAACCCCAACCAATAGGCGGGGCCACACGTGCATGACTAATATCGTTGTTGCGCTCATCGTGCACTTGTAAAATTGCCCATATAACGTAAAAAGTATGATAAATTGTAAAAAACGTTTAAGCCCGCCACAAACACTACATCACTAACTAGACCAATATGTATGTTTTTTAAATCGTTTAATTTTGTACGACGTCTCTGTTTCTTTTCAGCAGTTCCCGTCCGGGGAGACCACCTAAACGAGCCTCGTCGGTGGGCTTGTCGCTGGCTGCTTCGGCTTCGCATTTGAGTCATCAGATGAAGAAACACCGTCTAGAGAACGGAGACTATGTACCAGGAGTGTACGAAAACGGACACATGCAAGGTAAGTTGAGTTGTTACGGTGCTAGTTATAAATGTGTATCTAGATGCGCCAACTAGATAAAATACATTGAACTTGTATGTCATCTTGATAATTGTGTAAACGAGTATCTGGATGCTAAGATGAAATGCACACTAATCTAGATAACATATCTAGATAATTTCACGCCTCATTATTAGTTTCCTCACGAAATAATTTTGTGGTTTCCCGTTGTTACTCGCAAAATAAAGTACAAAATTGAAACAATTTTTTTTTTGGTTTTTATTTACAAATATTTTTTGTTTGACCAGCTATTAATAATATTTATATTATACAAACAGTATACAGACCATCTATTTATCACGGACGTGCTAAAATAGACCAAGCCCCGAATTCTAATAATTAGATAATTAAAATGTCCTTCTATGATCGTTATTGAGCAAGAAGAATTTGTTTTTAATAAACAGTTTAAGTAACATTTTTTTAAATATCAATAATATTAATTAGATAAAAGTCGTGATATCGTCATCCAAATGAAAATTAAAAATGTTATTTTTTTATAGAATTATCTTTATTTTAGCCAGAAGAGGTATTTTCGATTATTCATATTGATAACATACACACACTTATGCGTATTTGCTCAATATTGCTTATAGTATTTTTTATAATCATATTAACATTATTGAGATTATTATCGGAATTGTATTCGTGTGAGGAATGGGAACCGCTTTGCGAATTTTATAAATACCAATGGGTCGGTGAGCGGTAAATATAATTAGTAACTAATAATTTTGCTGATACATTGAGGAGTCACTTAAACCGCTTAATTAACGGTCGGCGTTGCACAATACAACTGTTTCGGTATTCATAAACGTGGCAAATAATTATAAAATTTCGAAGTAATATTAGCGTGTACTGTGCGCACGATTATAATGTATATTTATTTTCAAAAAAAAAAAAAATATTTACGCACTTGTCTGGGGGTTTTTTTTTTAACGAAAACCAACAAAAATTGAATCGTCTAGCCTCTTTCCTGCTGTCATTGTTTTGCGCTCGAAAGTGGGTATATATTTATTATGCGCCTATCACTGCAGTCCTTTTCTCGGGGAACATGTTACAAGCTACCGCGGTGTGTTCTCTTTAGACGTCTTTTGTGATTATATTATTATGTACATCCAAACAGTATACATATCGTTACAATATTTTTAAGCGGCCGCCGCCGCAGCTGTTCGGCGATCAATCATCCGACAAAAGCAACTGCACTCTCTTATGCTGAACCCATTATGTTCTTAGGTACCATTATTTTTCTCAGCGATACTTTATGATTTCAATTTTTTCCTTTGAAAACCACTGTATCATAACGTACCTATGTTGATGCCAACATTTTTTGCCGTTTTTTTCTCTCTCGAGTGTATTCTCGGTAAAAATTACACGGAAGCGTTGATTAAAGGCAAAAGTTACTTTGTTTTGAAACATTCACTGGCCAATGAACACAAACCCAATGTCACTGGCTGCTTAATAATCAGCCGAAGAGAGTGTAAAAGACGCACGGTGGGTACTCCATTCGTGTTTACTTAAAATAATTAAGAGCATCTTGGTAATGGTTCGTTAGGCGCGTCTATCCTCGAGACATTGGACGCTGTTTGAGCGTTGTGGTGTTACACGATAGCAAAAACGTCTAATTTAAATAAAAAGCTGTGGATTTTTTTCTGAGTGACTGAAAAACTTCCGGTTTGAGCCAATAAAACATTTAAAACAAAACAGACGACCGGGCCTTTTCTCTCACACACACTCATCATGATTGTTGCAGGATAAACGCACTTAACGTGTATCAACAGTGTGTTTCCTGTGTCACCACAATAATAAATGTCCCGCTCTTTTTCTATGTTGTTATTATTATTATTATTATTTAATACCATTATTATGTTTCAATTGAATTCGTATATAGTTTGCTCGTGTACAATATTACTATATGATGTTGTATGGCTCCTCTAGTATCCCTCAGTTTCTACTGTACAATCATTTTGGACAATGAATTCGTTTGTTGTTTTTCTCTTCGACTCTCGTTGTTATCGTTAATTGGACAACAGCGACTCAAATGACATAATATTATTCACAGCCCTTGCGATCACTTCACCAGTGTCAGTCTGTGTATTGTGCTTTGTTAATTCAAAGTATCGATTGTGTTACCACTACCTCATTTACGTCTTCTGGCCCGTTCTAAGCCTTGACGGACACGACTCTTCAACTTCTTGTGTAAACAAGAGTTTTTTATTTTACTAAATATTAACAGAGAGAGAGAGAGGAGTAGGTAGCGTTAGGTGCAATTAAACTTTGTTTTGCGTTCTCACACATGTAAAAAGAAATTAACGCAGTTGTGTTTTTTTAAGCCTTTTCTACGGTTTTGTTGTTTCGTACTTTATTTACTCTGGCGACGAACGAAAGGGTTGAACGACGAGTGTTTTCACCTGGAGCGCCCCTTTTTGTTGTTCGGGTGACCTTTTAATTGGTCTCCGGACTATAGTGTTTTTTAATAAACGATAATAGCTAGTGAATCGACAGAATCGTTTATTATATTACTAAAAAAATAGAACGTGTCCAGGGCTCCTATTGACAGGCTACAGTCAAGAACGTCAAAAAAGCCTCTTAGGTATACATTTAAAATGGACAAACAATAATTTTATGAATAAGTCGAGTACAATACTAGCGAAACTAACAATTCTGTTGACTTTACCGATAATTTATTATTATTTTTTATGTAATTGCGTCGTAGCTGTTAGGACACTGTAGTGACTACTTTACGGTGCACAATTATACGAAGACCTGTAAATAAAATTATGTGAAGTGCTGGATGACCCTTTGTTGTAAACGAACTTGAAATAAAATAATAATTTTAAATATTATTGTATGAAATTTTCAATAGTCTGTGGAGACTGTGCAGTGGGTAACTGTCATGTAGTCGCGTGTTTCGACTTACACAACAAGACCAACAATGGTCACGCGAGTCCATTTGGTGAATCGGTGTCATGTTTTGTCCAAGAGAATCAGTTATGTGTAGTATTTATTGTCTGTACTTGTGTGTTTTCGGTCCCCTTTCACCAGTTGTATGATCTAAACCGCCTCCGAGAGAATTGGATTGAATGAATAAAAACGGTATATAGTGTGATCGGTTTATCATAAACCACTCGATTACTCTCAAAATAAATACAATATAAAAAAAAAAATTGTTTTAGTTTCATATATTTCTGATTTATAAGCTATTAATTACTTTTTAGAATCATCTCTTAGTGTTAACTTAATATTTTTAAATGACAACATTACCCAATTAACTAGCCTATTAAATAGAAAATACCTGGGCGGGATATACAACGGGACCGATAAATATCTATTGATAAAAATAGCAGCAATCGCACTTTACCTTCAGTCTATATATATAGGGTGTCAAGTAAGTAAGGAAACGAATTTCTATTGTACTCATTGTTTGTAACAATTTAACTGTTTCCTAACTTACTGAACACCCTGTATAATAACTACTGAATAATAGGTCCAATAGGTGTTACCAACTAGCCATTTTCTTAATTACATTAATTTTTATTTTATGAACTAGTTAAAATGTATATTGCATTTAAAAAATAAATTTGAAATGAATGTAAATGAAAAATCCAAACATTTATTTTATAATAATGTTTTTTTTTTTTTGTGAGTAACTGAGCGGTTTCCGATAAGCCGTATGGTTTTTCACTCTGTATTTCAGCATCTGTACTGAGATTATAATTGTAAAATAAAAAAATTAATTGTTTTGCGCATTACACTAAACTTTTTTTAATAATAAAATAATTGCTTTTAAAAATTATAGACACGCATGTCGCAGACAAGTTTACATGTCAGTCAAGTACAATATATTGTACTAAAAAAATACAAAGCATTAAACAATTTTTTTTTTTAAATAAACTGCTCGTAAATAAAGCGATTTTACTAACAAAAGATCTTTAATGTATTGAAAAACTTATCGTTGACCAGCAAGGTCTTTTTTTATTTTGTTTTTTGACGTGCAACATGTCATACGGCTGTATCATCGAAGGCTGCTGATAGCGCGTCATATAAAGTATGGTTTCAATAAAAACAGAAATTCGGTTTATTATAGTGTAATTTTCTGCAGTAAAATAGAGGCAAAACAATAAGAATTCGACCACACAACAACCATTAGTGATGTTGTACGCTTTTTTTTACTCTTAAAAATATGCTAGTCGACCATCGAGTTGTTATAATTACTTACTGGGTATACTCTAAAGTCATCAAATACACCTGGAATGTTTAGTAAAATATCCATGTAATTTGCCCTCACAATTTGTTCATATCGAATATTTTTTAAGCAACTTCCATGATAAACGTCATCAGAAAGTAGTAATTTAACAAGTTGAAATGTATTTGTTGGACACCTTGGCGTGTACAAATACCTTTTATGAAATGTAATACTGTAATTTATTTAAAATTTCACGCACGTGCTCTGTTTGACGATTTAAAGTTCTTGAAATGATTTACTTGCAAATCTTTCTTTGTGCGTCAAGTCTGTATTTGAAAAATATTACGAGCAACTTTGACGTACTATTAAAGGTGTTGTCTATCATCGTATACCTGACACTACAGGGTTTTAGTTCTTATGACTGCAATTGGAGATGGTCATTTGCACTTTGCCGTGATGTAAAACGATAGTGTTTGTACTACCTTACGGGAAGGTCTCCTCGCGGACCGGAAACTACAGTTTTACCCCACACTGATATCTAATGGCGTAGCATTGGGTGCTCGTAAATAATGAATTGCCGCCGTTTTGCCGGTCAACGCGACGTCAGGCAAACCGAGAGAGTTAAATAGTTAAACACGCTCGCAGGGATTTCCTGGAGATAGCACACGTTTTGGCTCTACCCCGAAAACGAATGGCCGGTGATAATCGCCAAAGCCACAACCCCACCCCGTAGAAACCATGGACAGAGCGCTTACGGGGCCAAGGGAGCGAAAGGCTTTTGCGCCCACAAAAGATCAATATAATAACAATAATACACTAATAAAGGCGCCCGGTTATAGCGTAATGAATTTTTAAACGCGCGAGGTGTATTTGTTTTTTGATCTTTCCTCGATCGCAGTTAATAAATAATTCTAAAATTACCCGTAGTAATCGACCTTACACGATACCCAAGCGTTTCTATTTAGTTGGAACGGATCTACAGTGAGCTTACAATGAAATAAACATAAATTTTAACGGTAATACAAATACCGACGTCATTTATGTCTTTCGAAATACCGTCTCCGCCCCGTTGTTTAATTGCAGATAATTATACACTGTGCGACCGACGTCTTGATGATCCTCTCTGGCGTCGACCTTTCGGCAGCCCGACTTATTGCAGAAATAACCATCGCGACGAACAATTTTGTACTCGGCGAGTGAATGTACTTGTATGGTATCACGTTGGTCGTTCGAAAAGTGAAATTTATTTTGATTTTTTATCGTTAGAATATCGTATTTTATTAAAAATAACGAATTTCTTGCGACTGACAAAAATGATATTGCAAAAGAAGCATTAATCCCCTCGAAAGCTGCTATGGTTAAACAAATCGTTGTGTTCGCCCATGACCAACAATTATTAGTAATGCTAATAAAGTAAAGCCGGTAGTCGTTTGTTGAGTTATTCTCTCTACAGATAACTCCGACAAAGAGTGTGCACTTGTTTCTACGCTTTCATAATTTGATAGCTATTTCAAAATCGATGATACAAAAACGCACATATTGATACACATGAGTCGGTGACCTCCGACCGTGTAGGTGTATATACCTGACATTTCCGTGTGTGTTTGTTCAATTAAGTTTTTGTCGACCTACCAACATGAGGTCCGCGGGGTCCCGACCCGAAAAACCCATAACCGCTTCGGTGGTCTCCGGCCGAGCTTTGTGCTTGTCGGCCAGTTAATCTTCGCTCGTCTCCGAGATGAATATGAAAATAAAACAACATCATCCTTTTAACGCGTTCAAAGGAACCATTTTATAATGATTGTAATCTCCCTTTGTTTTTACTATACACCTCTATGCCGCCACCGTACCATTGTTCACGACCGGTCCGCGTGCCGCCACCGTCGACTGCATTATTCAATAATGATATTATTTAATTAGTTCTAATGATGATTTATACGCGCACGCGTTCCATTGGCTGTCCCGCCGCGAGTCCCGTCCCGCACAATAAATTCGATCCGATTGAATAACTCGGTCGGTGTGGACGTATCGCGGCGGTGGCTTACACACGCAAAACAGATCCAAAACAACAATAAATCTGCGCAACAGCGTACAAACGTGTCTCGGCAAGTAGCTGGACGATTTATAATCGTACTCGGTGGGCTGCGTAGACTTTGTTACCCTCCCCGTCGAATTTCGGCGGTATTTATGCAAAGAAAATCCGTCCGTCATCCATCACTGCAGCCGACGTCGTTGATAACAAACACCGAGTGAATGTCGGCGCACGTTGCTTTTGCAGGCCTTTCCTTCCACTGGATACTAAAATACACACCGAAGTGGCCGTGACTATTTACCACGGCTCCGAGAGAAGACCGTGCCTTTGAATATTTTAACGCGTTTTATAATAATAATTCCCCGACCGCATTTGTCAAAGGCCCCAATGATCGATGCTGTTCTTTTTGATACGGTCCGCGCGCGTCTTTCATTTTTAATTACGAATGATCGATGCGATGGCTGCCGTGTGAATACACAAAAAATATCATTTGAAAATCTCAACCGACAAACGATTTTTTTTTTTTTAAATTGAAAGTCCGATATTTCAACGAGAAACTGTTCCGAATTGTTAAAGGGTTATGAATCGAGTTCATTCGTTATGTAATACCTTAAGACATGGACGTTTAAAGAACCTTATGTTCGGTACTTGCGACTGGATTACAAGGGACTGGTGGGCAGGTGATTTGCTCGGCAGGATAAGTAGCATTACGGCTGGTATTTGAGGGATTTCATTCGGTTACTCGCGCGGTACACTTTTATTAAATTACCGAGCATCAGATTTATTTACTAATTTACTCGGTAGCGAAAAAAATCAACCCTTTTTATTTAAAAATCCGGACGACGGTTGCGGTAAATAATACGAATATAAATGATCGGAAGAACAAGTATTATTTATTATTGAAAGAGAAGCTTTCATCTGTGAAATCGAACCGTGACGGTTTGTGCGTTTCATTCGCAGATGCTACTACTCATCGGCGAGTCATGATTCATTGTCAGTCAAAGGTTTTCTTGGCACACGGAAAAAAATTAATAACAATAATAATGTTGCTCGCCTGACCTAAGGGACGGTTACGTCTCACGTTCGTACATTTTTTTATGCGCGCCGCTCTCTCTCTCTCTCTCTCTCTCTCTCTGCGCGTTGATGTATCGTATGCTAATCCGGAGAGTGCAAATTAATTTCAATTTAAACGAGTCGAAATGTATATTATGTGCGAGTGTGTTGTGGGATCCCTTCACACGCCGCCGTCACTCGAAGCCAAGAAACGGTAACAGAGTAACAGCAGCTCAGAGTAATCAATCATGCCGTTCGCGCACTCTCTTTTTCTCCTCAGACTGTCAGCGCACACACACGCGTCCAATCCGCACCAGGCTCATAACCGCCGTGCCGTTGTTTTTTTATTATTACGTATTCCGTAAAACGCACGGCGGGGAGGATTTTAATTTTAGCATATTGTTTCTTTTCGGTTCCAAGACAAACAAACAACGCACTCGCACATACACATATTTTCCGGCGGGTCTCTTAATTTTCACAGAGACCCCGTCCGCGACGTACGGGGGCGGGTAAGCGTAGCCGCCGGACGATGATGGATTGCGCCACAGGCCCTTCGTCACAACCCCGTTCCCCCTCACTCACGTGGTTTATCATTAGCTAGGACCCGAAAACGCTGGGCTAATTTAAATCTACGTTTTTTGTTCCTTTTCTTCTGGTCGACCTTTTTCGGCACCGCCCAGTGGCGCCGCATTAAAATTGTATTATTATAACTATCCCAGTCAGTTTTCACACTTTATAATCTCGTACAAACGATCCTAAACCAACTTCTCGTTCTATCCTTTTGTGCAGCTTTTGTTTGGCGTTACACTGAGATTTATATTACGACGTGTGTACGGCACACGCTTTCCAAAAGGCGAAATGCGTTTGCTCGGGTGCCATTTTCAAAAGCAGTTTTCGTTATTACCGTTGCCGGCTAATAATCGTTGTAGTCGCGTTTACGATTTCTGTTTATTTAGAAATCATCGTAATGGAATCGTAGAGGGTTTCGTTTTACGTTGATCTTTTTAACAAACAAATGGGTCCCTCGATTTACATGTTATTTGTAAAGCGAACGTATGTCGTCGACAAGGGACTCGTTTATTAGTTCATACACTTTTTTCGTTCCCCGTTCAATCAAATTAACATTTTCCGGTAGCAACGTCATGGACGCAGTAAAATTAAATGAATGAAAAAAAACAACAACACCGCTAGTATAATTCGACATTAAAAACCAAGTATTATTTGTTTACTGTCGTGTTTCATTAAATAATAAAAATTTCAACTCTTGTTTCCAATTAAACCTTTCATCAATTTCCCATTGCAATTGCTTTACAAATATCATGCGTGTTTACTTATACCATAGTCCGAAAGCTGTCTATTGAGTAACTGTCGTGAGAAATCGCGTTTTTTTAAGAGTTCCAACTAAAATGTAAAATACTGTCAATGTAAAAACCCATTTTGAAGATTGTAAAAAAAGAAAACGAATTAGTGTTATTAATGCGGTGGCCAGTGTATTGGTCTGCAGCAGTCGTTAGCGGCAATGACAAATTATAACTGGTTGCGGCGGCACTTACCATGTAAACAGTTGCTGAGCATAAATCACATCACTCTGCTGGCGGCCCGCGTCGGTTTGACTTTAGAGCGGGTTCGGCGAAAACCGATCGCCGCAATGACCGAATGCCGGGCGGCGCAATATTAGTCAAAGTGGCAGAGGATAATTGAATATGCGTTTGTGCTTAAAGGTTAAGTTACGCGGCCGCGTCATGCGAGAGCCCGAGGAACCCGCTGCGAAAGGCCAATCAACGTGTACAACGCAGCGCGTATTATAAGCTCAATAATTACCGTCGTTTTGGTTGTGTTGTTTTTCGGAGCGCGTGCGTGTCAGACGGTCGGTGAAGACAAAAACCCATCAGTCACACGCGCCGAGCAGTACGTAACCAGTTGTGTGTACAGCCACAAATGCCATTACGGGCCATGTCCATTAATATGGCCCCGACTAGAGCGGTCAATCATCAATAACTCCCCGAACGAAACGCCCCGCTATTGTTGTCAACGGCAAGAGAAAACAAATTAAACATTCAAATCTATAACGTTTGTATAATGTGTGTTTTTTGTTTGTGCGTATAGACTCGCCGCGGATGGAAAAGTCGCCGCTACTGGCCAACGGTTACAATCACCCGCCGACGCACCTCGGACATATGCAGTACATGCAGCAGTTCAACCATCATCATCACCATCCGGCAGCCGCTCACGCCATAATGAATCCGGCAGGTCTATCGCACCCCGCCTTACCGCGACCAGACGCGCAGTTGCTTAAGAGTCAGGGACTATCGATGGAAGCTTTGGCCAGGTAACGTACGCGTTTTGAGCGGCAACCGATTTTAACCGGACGTTTGCCGCCGCCGCCGCCGCCACCGTTGTGTCCGATAATGCTGTTCTAATGCAGTTGTATTTTATTTTTATTTTCAGTTCTGGTATCTGGGAAAAGGCGTACGCCGGTTTTATGAAGCAACTGGAAAGGTAAGCAGACAGATTTACAATAATTGTATGACCGCAACACTAGAATATTATTATTATTGATATTGTGTACACTTTACGTACGACGCCTTCTCGCGGTCCGCACTAAAATAATATAACGACGAGCCGTTTAACGAGCTTACTGCGGAGAACAGGTCGGTGGTCGTAATGAAGAGGGGGCGTGCGGAATTAATATTCGGTTCATTTGATATATGACTAAATACACTGACATTCACACAGAAATCGTTACGGGCAAACGTAGTACCGGTCGCATTTGTCTTCTCTGCATAGTTCAAAAACGTTTTGTTAGTCGAATAACGGCGCGTTTGTTGAACGCAACTTACGACCGGCAGAGCGTCTTAAAAACGTTATAATTAATTATAATTATAATTAAACGGTGCAATTTTCATTTTAAAACTAATTTTCTCGAATTGTCGTTGCACTGCCCGTCGTTTGTATAGTCCGTGAAAATTATTACGTCATTACAATATCGAGTACCGTTGGAGCAAACATTATTAAGATGCATTGCATCGCATGTTGGCCATTCGCCGAGTAGTTTCTGCCGTAAATCTCTATGAAAAAGTTATAATTTGTTACATCACCGAGTCGAACGGCCAGAGGATGCGGAGAGAGGATAATATGATTAATATTACAAGGACACGCAGAAAGTGCAAACCTATAAATGTTATAAAAAATATTACACTAGGTGTTTGCGATGGATGTAAATTGAATTTGGTGAAACTTTACTTTCTCAATGGTGTCTTTATGTACAGCGGTGTATAATATTTTTTGCTGCGTTATTATTATTATCATCTTTTCTTTTTGTTGTTGTTGTTGTTCTCGCCCGTCTCCGATGAACTGATCTAATTTATATCCGTGGAAGAAGCAAAAGCCATCTTCCGGTTGTATCATTTATAACAATTTTCTTTTAGCAGCGCGCAACTGTTGAAATAAATAAGGGAAAAAATGTCGGCGCTATCTTATGCGCGTCGTCGGTGTCCGGGTCGTTGCAAAAGAAACGTTTTACACGTCTCCGGAGATTATGTGCGTCTGCTTGGGGGGGGGGGGGGGG